CACACACACACACTATACACACACCACACACATACATACTCACACACACACATACACACTCACTCACACTTACATATGTGCTGTGGTTAGAGACAAGAGTCCCCAAACCCAGAAGAAACCTTTTCTCTTTACAAGTTGATTGTGTTGGACACTTTGTTACAGTTACCTAACTCACGGTCCTGAGCATTTATTCACATTTTAAACCATTATTCTTACATGATGAGAAACTAAGACTCTCTGTCAGGAACAGGAAGAAGCAGCAAGGTTCCTCATGAACAGCAGACATGGTAGGACCTTCTATGGACACACTGCTAACATCAAAGCCATACCCTAAGGAAGGATGAAGACCAGGGGGCCTGAGCTGAGCCCTTACCTTCCTGGGGTCCTTCCTGTCCTTGGCTCGGCCGGTGTCCTTCCGTGGACTCGGGGCACCACCCCTGCCACAGCGGCTAGGCTTGGTTGCTGGCACCGTGTTGCTGGGTGCCTGGACTGCAGCGGACGCATCGTGTAAGAAGATGCGTTCACTTCTGCGTCGTGTCCACAGGTCGTCGTCACTGGCCTCTGGCCCCGCCTCAAAGCCAGGTTCCTTGGGGCCACGTATCTTCCGGGCTTTTCGTCCTTTCTCTGAGGCCAGCTTGGCCTTGTCTGGGCTGGTGGGACCAGAGGCCCGGGTGCCAGGTACGGGTGCAGCCAGAGACTGGCCTGGCTCCCCGACCCCTTTCTTGGGCCGCAGCAGCCCAGCAGGTGACTGCTTGGGAACCTTCACTTCACTCTCTGAGTCTGTATACTCGAACTCTGTGCCTGGAGGTGGGAAGGAGGAGGCAGGGACTGGTCGGTAGGTTCTCTACGGGCCCCTCTTCCCATCCACCTGGCCCTGCAAGGCCACCAGCCAGAAACCCACAGACCCATTTCACCCAGCGACACACTCTCCTGTTACCAGGAGGAGGCAAACTCAGGCTGAGAGAAGGACAAGGCCTCACCCAAGTCCCCTATCCCCTACCCCATAGCTGTTACCCACTTCTCACCCCAAGAACACCACTAAAATCTATAGGCCTTAGGCCCACATGAGGCTCACTATACTGCCTCTCAGGAAACCCCCAAAACTAGGCAGGTTGGAGCAAGGGCTGTACAGGAGGGAGTGGGGAAACCCCCAAGAAAGCCCCAAGCCTGAGGCCTATCTTCCGCTTCCTGACAGATTCCCTTCCTACTCTTGGGGTCCTTAGTCACCCAGGCCCACTCCCTGTTGAGAGGCTCCTCAGAGGCCCCTTCTTTCATTCCCTTAACAAGTCCCCACATAACAAGGACCCTCCCTCCTTATGCCTCTGTCTCTCCTCACTCTTCTACCTTTCCTGACCTTCAAGTTGCTGTTCCACTGTTCCCTCAGCCTAGGGTACAACCACCTTGACAGGAAACTCAGGTATGCTATAACCCACCTGATCTCCAGGGTGTTCCCTCTCTTCACAATTCCCTGCGGCCATCATAACAATCCTTAACAATCCATAACAAACCCCCATACTTCCAGTCTCTCCATCCACACTGTAGCCCATCCAGCCTGCCCTGGTCTAAAAGTAGCTGAGTTCTGTTCTGTTTTGTTTTGGTTTTTGGTTTTTTTGTTTGTTTGTTTGTTTTGGGTTTTTTGTTTTGTTTTGTTTGGTTTGGTTTTTTTCGAGACAGGGTTTCTCTGTATAGCCCTGGCTGTCCTGGAACTCACTCGGTAGACCAGGCTGGCCTCGAACTCAGAAATCTACCTGCCTCTGCCTCCCAAGTGCTGGGATTAAAGGTGTGCACCACTACCGCCCGGCTAATAGCTGAGTTCTTTTGGGGTCTCTCCCATCTACAAAGCTCAAAGACAGAAAGATATTATCTGTATCTGTATCTGTATCTGTATCTCTATCTATCTATCTATCTATCTATCTATCTATCTATCTATCTATCTAACCTACCTACCATCCCACAGTCAGATAGTCTATTGGGTTGACAGTCTCCTAGAAGGCCAGCAACCCCTGAAAGAGGACCTGGAGGCCCAATCCCAGCTCTTCTGACTCTCAGGCAACAGGCAGCCTGTTCACAGGGGCCTCGAGGGGAGGCCTTCTCAGAGTCAGCCACAGAGAGGCAGGGATGAGGGGGCAGGAAACCTGGTGAACAGGGAGTCCCTTCAAAGCTTAAAGACCTTGTTGATTAACTTGTTAATAAGCTTCTCCCTGATGAGATATTGAGGGAAGCAGCTGGAAGAGGGGGGATGGGGACATTCTTGTACATGAGGAGGGTTCAGGCCATACAGTCAGGCTTTAGAGTTGAGCTTTTGGGGTTATGGGGTGTGGCACTGTACTCAAAAGAGTTGCTTGCCTAGCATGTATGAAGCCCTGGGTTCCCTCACCAGCACTGCAGAAAACCTTCATGCACCACAGTGGTGCATGCATGTAATTTCAGCACTTAGGAGGCAGAGGCAGGAGGATCAGAAGTGCAAGGTCATCCTCTGTGTGTAGCTCCTTGTAGAAACACTAGATCATTCTGCATGGATCAGGTACAGAAAGCTGACTGAGACCTGGAAGAGAGCGCTCTTGGAAGAGAGGCATGCAGCTACAAGGGTCAGGTCTTAGCCTTGCACCCCCTACTCAAGAATTTGGGGGAAGGTATGGGGCACATGTGCAAGAAATGAATCCTGAGTTCGGAAATCAGAAAAGAGTAACTTAAGAATCACAAAGAAAAGAGCAAAAGAGAGGCCATTCCAAACTGTCTAGCCACACCTGTGAGTAAGCCTTCAGGCCAACCACCCAGAGAACTGCAGTACTGGAAATAAATTTGCTAGAGAGGCCTATAACTGGATGGGTCTGATTAAGACAAGTCCTGACAGGTCAACTCAGTTGTGATCCAAACTCCTGGGAAGAGAGTCTCAGTGAAGGACTGTGTAGATCAGGTAGGCCTGTGGGCATGTCTGTAGCGGATAGTCTTTATTGAGGTAACTGAGGTAGGAGGTACAGCCTACTGTGGGCAGCATCATTCCCTAGGCAGGTGGAAGTAAGCTAAGCACCAAAGCTCACACATTCATTTTCTCCCTGCTTCTTGACTGTGGTTGAAATGTGATCAGCTGTTTGAAGTTCCTGCTCACTTGACTGCCCTGCTATGATGGACTGTAAACTATGAGCTAAAATAAACTTTCTGTCCTTGTCTTTTATCAGGATAGTTTATCAAGGCAACAGAAATGCAGCTAGGACTGCCAGTACGATTCTTAGAGGTAAAGAGCATGTAACACTCTTGTAGGGGACCCAAGTTCAGTTCCCAGGATCCTCAAGGGAGGATCCTATAAGTCCAGCTTCTGGCAACATCTCTGGCCTCTGTCCACTGCACTCATGTGCACATACTCTCTCTCTCTCTCACACATACACAATTAAAAAGTCTTTTTTTTCTTTTTCTTTTTTTTTTTTTGGTTTTTCGAGACAGGGTTTCTCTGTGTCTTCCTGGCTGTCCTGGAACTCACTCTGTAGACCAGGCTGGCCTCGAACTCAGAAATCTACCTGCCTCTGCCTTCCAAGTGCTGGGATTAAAGGTGTGTGCCACCACTGCCTGGCCCAATTAAGAAGTCTTTTAGAACAAAAAGGAAAAGTTTATTATTAATTCCTCAACGGGCTAAACAAACTTCCCAAATTGCCTAGCAATTCAAGTATAGAAGAATTAAAAATTTCCTCACACACAAAAAAGAAAAAAGAAAAAAAAAACAGCACACAGCATTAGCTACAAAAGCCTAAAATTGGAAGCAACTCAAATACGCATCCAGTACCAAGTAGATGTGGTTCAGAGCTGTAAAAACATGGTGTCCTAGCAACTGTCACTATGACGAGCTACAAAATCAAAATGAAAGATGCCAAAACACACAGGGGTAAGTACTACAGGGCCTACGTCATTCTACGTACTGTCAGGAATAGGTAAATACCAAAAGAAGGAAGAAATAGTTGGCTAGAACTAGAGGATCTATTCATTTAATTGCTGGAAGGGAGGGAGGCAGGAGGATGCACAATACATGTATGGAGATCTCCCCTCCCATCATGCACTGTGACATACATGTCCATTATACATATCACCTACACGATCGTAATACATTTTAAAAAAAAAAAAATTGAAAAAAGAAAACCAAAATCACCATGGAGTATCATATGAAAGTAGATTTTAGAACAAAACATAATCCCAGAGAGGAGAAAGGAACACTTCTTAACAGTGATGCTCAAGAGAATAACAAAATAATCAAAAACTTGTATGCCCTCAATAACAGAGCTACAAATGCATACAGCAAAAACTGATACAATGAAAAGAAGCAATAGCGAATTGTACAAATTACAGTTATAGATCTTAACGTTTATCTCCATGGAAATTTACAATGGAAAGAGTAAATCTGAACTGGGGAGAATCACCCTGGTGTGACTAATGGTTAATAGAATATCCGTACACACCATGTGTTTGCACATTACGTGTTGACCTCCTAGGAAGTACCATAGAGCTACAAATTAATTTCCTTTTTCATTGAAATTATTGAATGTACTTTCCAACTAGAATGGAACCCAAGCAGAGATCCACAAGATGACCAAGCAACTACCCTCAGATGTCTGGAGAATAAATAACTGTGAGTCATCGCCGGATCAAAGCGGAAATCACAAGAGAGATTTTGAAAGGTTCCTGAATAATGAGCATCCGACAAACATCAAGATGTGTGAGATGCAACTGAGGCTGTGCTTTCACAGAGGTTTGTGTCTTTGAACAATGGTTCTATTAGAGAAGAATAACGTCTCTAATCAGTGACCCAAGAGGCTACCTGAAATACAGGAAGTAGCTGCACATGACTGACACACCCAAGAAATCGAAGGGAGTGAGGAACAGCAATCAATGAACCTAGGCTGGCCAGATGGCTCAGCAAGTAAGGAAGCTTGCCCATCAGGACTCATGACCTGGATTCAACCCCTGGAACCCGGGCAGTGGAGAGAACCAACTCCAGAAAGCTGTCTTCTGATCTTCACACAAGTACTAAGGTATATATATATATATATATATATATATATATATATATATATACACAAACAAACAAAAAACCAAATGTAACAAGAGACAGAATGAAGGGGGAGAGGAATTGATAAAACAGGGAAGCTGTAGCCAGGCTGATCAAGGGAGAGTGTATCAGCAATAAAAGAAGATAAATTACTACCGACCCCACAGACATTACAAGTAATGGGGTTGGGGTGAGGGACACTGGCTAGACAGATGGCTTAGTGGTTAAGAGCACTGGCTGCTCTTCCAGAGGTCCTGAGTTCAATTCCCAGCACCCACATGGTGGCTCACAACCATCTATAATGCCAGGTCCATGGGATCTGATGTTTTCTTCTGACCTCCATGGGCACCAGGCACACAAGTGGTACACACACACACACACACACACACACACACACACACACAGGCACACAGACAAAAGACCCACCGACATAAAAGTGTGATGGGGCTGTAGAAAGGGTTCAGCAGATAAGAGTGCTTGCTGCTCTTGCAGAGGAGTCTGATTCATGTTGGCTTCCATGCTAAGAAGCAGTCTCGTAATCTAGTAACAAGCCATACATCTGATACCTCGAGCTGGATACCACTGAATCAAGTACTGAGAGACTTGTGTCTCTAAAAGACATTAAGAAGTAAGTTGTCAAGGGAAACCTTTGTTACCATTTCCTGGTGATGATTGTGACCTAACAGACGACAAGAAGAGACTAAAATATCTTCTGCTATCTTCAGAGGAACCCACAGAATCGTGCACCTGCCCAACTGGCTGGAGAATGTTATGCGTATAGCTGCCCCAGTGGCAAGGTTTCCTTTTGAATCTAGAAGTTGCCGCTGGAGAAATCTGGATATAAAATGTCACAAATCGAAGGAGAGGAGAGGTGGCCTGTACTAGGTCTGGTTTGGAGGTTGACACACCAAACACTAGATGACTTCATAAATTATCTATGAATATTATCTATGAAAATGCCCAAAGCTCTAAAGATGAAAAAGAGGACAAGTCTGCCTCAGGATACTTCGGTAGAACTTCCAGAAGGATTTGCGTACACAAGACTAGAGCAAACTACGAGCTAGAAAAATGGAGGAAGGGTTGAAGAAGCATGAACAAACAACTAGGGGCCGGCAAGATGGCACAACAGAAAAGGGGGTCTGCCACAAAGCCTGGTGACCTGAGTTCTAGTCCCAGAACCTTTGACCTTGGGGGTGTCTACTCTGGCATGTGTGCACCCGGAAACATACATGCAAAGTAAACCAAAGTATAATTTTTTAAAAAATGCTTTAAATAGTTCATTTGAGTGGTGGTACATATGATCAAGATACATGTGTCAAAGTATAAATAAATGCTTATCTGTAGGGGATGGTTCAGATGCTAAGGTCCTACTCCCCAATTGGTTCTTGATCTATCAATAAAGATGCCAGGGGCTAATTACTGAGCAGAAGGAAAGAGGCAGAACTGCTGGGTCCCCGCAGGCAAGCTAAAAGATGCAGAAAGAGGAAGGGGGATCTTGACCACGCTTCCGAGGGAAAAAAGGTGACCAGTCATGTGAGATCTCGGGCTGAGCCGCCATAGGCTGCTTCCTTAGGCGGGAAATTAGAAAGTCAACTAAGTGGAGTTTTGGGTTGTTGAACAAGGAGAAGGTAACCAGGACACTAAGATTAAGAGGTGCTAAGAGTACTGAGGAGGACATGATAGCTACAGGAGATTAGAAGAGCCCACCAATGGAGCCAATAACGCAGGCTGTGACTGAGAAACGCGTGTGTCTGTGACTTTCCTTGGCGGATCCAATATTCTCTGGATGGGGGACTGGTAGTGTGGTCTGCCCAGAGCTTAAAGCAGGGTAGCAAAAACTACACTCATCTATGGGAAACAAAATTTCCAGGAAACTTCAAAGAAGCCTGGCCCTTGTTGCACACAGCCTCTGTCAGAAGGTCTCGTGCTTGCTCCACAACCCCTACTTGAGAAAGGGACTAATACTCCAGGCTGGTCTCCAGCTTGCTGTATGTTATAGCTGAGGGTGACCTTGAACCCCTGATCCTCCTGCCTCCTAAGTGCTGGGATTGCAGGCATGTACCACTGCATCTGGCTTACGGGATGCTGGAGATAGATACAGAATGCAGGGATCTTCGGGCCTAGCAAACACTGTACCAACTCAGCTACAGATCACCAGCCCCAGGAACCGTGTCTACTCTGATGGACTCATGAGGGACACAGGGCCCAGACTCAAGGATGTAACAGAAGTGAGGAAGGGTCAGCTGAGCCTCCAGCCCCAATGTTGACATCATAACCTCAGCCCACTAAGGGAGAACAAGCCTCAGCCTGCCAACCCTGACTCCTCCAGCCACCAGCTTCAAGCCACTGAGGCCACTCCCGACTCACTGGACTCAGAGAACTTCTCCAGTGACACAGACAGAATGTTTTCCCTTCCTCTTCTTTCTGTATCTCTCTCTCTGTCACTATGCTTTTCACTAGCCTAGTGGCCTCTAGTCACCAGGCCTAGGTCAAGGCCTTGCCTGAGCTCCTGGAGACCTTTGAAGTACTAGCATCTTTAATAAAGGCATGAGGATGAAGAAAGCCACTCTAATGTGACGGCACCTCTTGTCAGGTGATCAAAGCTCCACCCTGCTCTCCCGCCCACCACTGAGCCTCAGTCTCTTTATCTCTGTGATAGGCCCACAGCACCCACTTTGCAACCAATGATGCTCACCCATCAAGCTCTGCCGTTCTTCCTTCTTCCGGGCCTTCTGCTCAGCTTCCAGCTGCACCACAGACAGGGGTGGCCCAACGACAGGGCTGGGGAGAGCGCTGGCTGCAAAGCGAGCCAGCAGGCCCAGCCCACTCTCCTCCAGGCTTGGCGACAGGGCCTGTTCCCCGGCACCCAGCCTATAGCTACCAACGCCTTCCTCGTCCTCGTCTTCCTCCTCCTCTTCTGAGCTGTCATCTGGCATGCAGAAAACAAGGAGCGAGTGAGAGCCCTGAGCTGGGTGCAGGCTGCCCCCCACCTCCTCCCACCGCCCACCCTGGCTCCAGTTTCTGTCCTCACCAAGGGTCATCAGGAGAGGGTCCAGAACCAGCCCACAGTCCCACCCATGGCCCGTGACCTCTACCAGTCACCCACACAGGGGCAGCCTGGGGAAGGAAGAGGGGTGGCTCTGGGTATTGGGATGGGCTTCTGGGAGGGCAGCACCGACATGCACCTGTGCTGTAGGTGGGGGGACAGACACACAGACAGACAAAGACAGGAGACAGCGCTCGTCACGGTCCACACACACACACGCACATACACACACCCCGACATAGACATGGAGGCTGAGAAAGGAAGCAGGAAAGAAGAGAAAGGCAGAGGAGGGGAAAGGAGGGGGGAAGGCTGGGCTCAGGCTGGGGGATCTAGACAAGGGGCCTGTAGCATTTTGGTCAGCCAGAGGTCAGGGGGCTGTTGGTAGAAAGCAGAATCTGATCTCTTCCTGGAGACTAGGGAACCCCCATAGTCTTATTCCTGAGCAGAGCTAGAATCTAGCACCCCCATGCTAGGAAGCCTCTTTGACCCCGGGGTGACCCTCCAGCCCATCGACCCAGCTAAGAGGGTCCGCATCCTGTGTGCCATGGTCTGGTGTGGTGTATGTCTGTGGTCTAAGCATTGAGGCTGAGGCAGGAAGACTCTAAATTCAAAGCCAGCCAGGGCTACAGAGTAAGAGAGTAAGACCCTATTTCAAAAAGAAAAGAGAAACAGTGCCAGCTACAGATGTGAGCTCACACTGCCCTGCGGGTGGGCAGACCAGCCCACTCTGCAATAGGGAGGGTTCCTAAGACCAAACCCTCAGGCAGCAGTGGAGTCTAAACCTGTCCAGCCAGGGTTCTGCTGGGTCAGAGGCCAGTTTCACTCCAGTAACTGACCCCACTGGCTCAAAGGCTGACAGCCCCTGCTAGGATGGGCAATGGGGCTGGCTCACAGAAAACAAACCTCAACACTCCCCTAGGCATGCAACAAAATTCTCTACCAGATGGTGATGATGCCCTAAGGGACAGACTGGCTTATGACCTTTCAAGGGAAATAGCACCAAGGTAAACACCAGGTGTGATCTACCTCGAGGGCCTGTGCACTGGGGCCCAGGTAGGGCTGGGAGGTTACTCTAGTCTAGTAAGCCATGTTAAGATACACACATCCAAGATGTGAGGCCTGGACAGGGTGATCAAATACTGCTTTGTCTGCTAAGGCCCATCCCACAGCTTGGTTAGATAAACTATCGGCCAAGGTGCACCAGCTGTGAGTTCTAACCAGCGTGTCTATGACAGGGAATTTTAGCTTCTGAAGAACCAGCCAGCTCGGGAGGGGAGGTGGGACTAGCTAACAAGGGTCTGCATAAGGGCTAGAGAGAGGAGAGAGAGAGAGAGAGAGAGAGAGATAGAGAGAGAGAGAGAGAGAGACGGAGGGAGAGAAAGGGAGAGGAAGTTGGCTAAGAGGGTGCAAGGCGGGAGGTGTTCCCAGAGCGATGGATGAAGCAGGCTGGGGATACCAGCGGGGCAGGCAGGGGCAGGCAGGCAGTGCGCACTTGCGATCAGTCACATTGCGACGTCACATGGTTCTGTCTCCGCCCCAGTGGGCCACAGCGGCAAAGCAGGCTAAGTGTAGGCAGACTTTTTTTTTTCGGCAGCCTGGGTAATCTCACATCAGGGCTCCCTGGAGCTGGCCAATTTGGGTAGGGTGGGCAGGGGATGGGGAGGGTGGCTGGCTGGGATGGGGATTAGGAATGTCCCCTTTCTAAAAACTCCCCCTCTGTCCTGGCTGCTCAGGTGTGGAGACTGGAAGTCCTGAACATTCTTTCCAGAAGGATTCTGGGGCAGTAGGCTTCACCAGCAGGGAGGCAAGTTTGCGTCCCTGCTCTGGGTTTCCGAGGGACACCGTCAGATCCCAGAAAGCCAGGAGCAAATTGGTCTCAGCAGTTTGATGCTGCAGAACATTCCAAAAGGCAGAAATTTCCCCAAGAGAGGAACTGAATTATCCTGAGGTCTCCTGTGGCCCTCACAATGAGGTGCTTGTCAAGACTCATGCAGTGTCTGATCAGACCATCATCTATGAGGACAAGGAGACCTGAGAGACCTTGCAGGACAGGGGGTGTCAAGAATTTCTGGAATTGTCTATACCTGGATCCACAGAGCTTGCCAAGGGTAGAGGGGGAGAAAAGTCCCAACAACGACTCAAGGGAATGAAGGAGGAGAAAAAAAATTTAATGTCAATATATATGTTTTTTTAAAATCCTGGCTCAGGGCAAGGGGTTATGGGTAATTGAGTTCCCCAAACCTGGTAAAAGTCAAAGTGATATGCTGCCGCCAGACCCGGTGGGGGCAGACCCCGAGGAGGGGGGGATAAACAGAGAATAGAAAAGGAAAATGTTTTTTGCCTACCTACGGAGAAACGAGCCAGGCTCGGACTCAAACTCAGTAACCCGCTACGCCGTCTGCCCTACTCCCAGCCTTCGCTTTGCGTCCAAGTGCAGCGTGAGAGCAAATGCGAGAGACCGAAACAGACACTCAAAGCATCATGGGTAGGGGTCAAGGGTTGGAGGGATGGTCAAGCTGCTGGTAGGAGAAAGCAGACATACTAGAAAAGCCACGCCAATTAAATGTTTTAGTACCAAGGGGGCAGGAAGGCCCTGTTACCCAAACATCCCTTCTGAGACCTCATTGGCCAGTTTTGCTTTGAATGGTAGAGGCAAGCTAGGGAACCATGCCCTGGTCTTCGCCTCTCCAAATCCTCTGGCTGGGCTGTTGTCCCTTGGTACTGACTAGGGGGCCTGGGGATGCCTGATTCTGTGTGGTCTATGCTGGAACAGGAGAGGCTCAAAAACTTCAAGGCTGGGACCCTGATTCTCAGGGCATGTAGGGAAGGGCAGAGGTACCCACCCCAAGTCATAGGGAGAGAACAGGGGAGTAACCGGTCTTACACACAGAAGACCAGGGTAGGGAAGCCCACACAGAAAGCAGGCAGCCTCTTTGTGGCCCAGGTTGTGCTGACTCTGGTATTACAGGAACAGCCCAAAAGGCACCAGGTCCCTTTGTACTGTCACTTGGTCACCCCAAAACCCGCCTCTGCCAATTTGGACTGCTGGTGTTTGAGGAAAGGAGGCGGGAACTGAAGGAAACCTGGTAAGAGCAGAGTCCTGGTCCCAGGTTGCTATGACCCTCCTCCCCACGGCCGGGCACGGCCAGGGCCATGCTCAGGGAGCGGTGACATGGTGCTAGCCATCCAGGCAATTTCAAACTCTAGCTCTAAGGGGGATGTACCCTGAAGCAGCCCCTGGCTAAGGAGTGATGCCCAATTTCTTCCCTGGCGGGGACATTTTCTGATTGAAGGGTCTGCGGGCATACGAATTTCTAACTGTGGGCTCCAATTCTGACGTTGGAAAAGTGGGAGCCAGAATGTTCTTTTGGGGGTGGGGCCTGTAGGCTGAGCTGAAGGCCAAACAGAACTCAGTCCAGCAACCCCAAGAAATAGCATTTTGACCCTCAACTCGGCAACCAAGCCAACACTTTCAAATTGAACAAGGAAGAGAAAAAACAAAAACCCAAAAATACCAAACTCAAGGAGATGGCCAATAGGCCTTGACTCTGAACTGCCCGCATGCCCTTCAAAACAGAAAGATGTGTTAGCAAACAAGTACTGGTAAGTTAATTGTTGTTCTTGTAGGATTTGGGTTTTTTTTTTTTTAAACCACAGGTGGGAAGTAGCAGAAGCTTCCAGGAGAATAAAACACAGACAAGCAGCTTAAAAGAAAAAAAAACAAAACAAAACAAAACAGAGGGATGATACAACACTGGACTGTACACCTGAGAATGGAATGAGTGCCGGGGATACCAGGGATATTTGAATAACAGAAAAGCAGTCCACCATGTCTATGGCTTCTAGAGTGGGGACGAGAGTGGGAAGAGAGGAGGGGGAAGGAGGGATGAATGGAGGGGGGACGGCAACCTGACGTCTAGTTAAGGACATAGCAAGAGAAACGAGGCACACAGTTTAGTTAAAAATGAACTCGGTATGTTTAATAAAGCTTGGTATTACCAAAATCGCGGTACAAACAGCAAGTCACACGCCCACACAACAAGTCCCTCTTTGTTTTTTTGTTTTTTGTTTTTTTTTACAAAGTGCTCCTTTGGGCCTCCACCAGGCTCGTGCCAAGAGAAAACCGAGGCCGGCCAGGGGATCTGGAGAAGGTAAGGTTAGGCTTTTGGATTGGGGGTGGGGGTGGGGCTTGGGGAGGACTAGTGGGGTGCAGAGGGAAGAGGATGAGAAATTCTGGGAGACTAAAAACAAGTCCGCGTAAGAGCTCCCTAAGGGCTGGCCAACGGTGTTATCACAAGTTTAAGTAAAAATAAAAAGCAAACACAAACCAAAAATATAGGCAGATAGGGCAGGCTACGCTGCCAAAAACCTAGACGGCTACAGCCATCCCTGCTGTGTGCACACACTCTCGCACGCTCGCTTGCTCTCTCTCTCTCTCTCTCTCTCTCTCTCTCTCTCTTTCTCTCTCCTACTCACTCTCGCTCTAAAAACACGGAAGGTTATTTTGTGTTTGGCACTAGTAACCTTGATCAAAGGAGTCGTCCTCTGAAGAGTCGCTGAAGGAGGAACGGGCCTCGGCCTCTCGGAGCAGCAAACAAAACGACTGCTTCCTGCTGCTGGCCACCTTGGGTTTCAAAGTCCGGGGGCCTGCCAGGCCCCTCTTGGTCAGCTTAGGGCCTGTGGCTGGCTTGCTGTTCTTGGGCATTATGCCACACAGGAGGGACGAGGTCAGTTTGCAGCTGGAGGGGCCCTGGGCAGACCACTCATTCTTCAGGAAGTCTTCGTCTTCATCTGAGTCCGTATCTGTAGTCAAAGTAGGTTTTGTTTATTTTTATGTATGTAGGTGTGTGTGTGTGTGTGTATGTGTCTGTGTGTGTGTGTTCACATGTGTGTGAATGTGTATGGGAACCAGAGATCAACCCTGACCATGGCTTCTCAAATGCCTGCTATCTTCTTAGAATGTTACTATATTTTATTCTGGTCTATGTTCCTGTGTTTATGTCTAGGGACATGAGCATGCCAGGGAACACAGGGGAGAGTCAGGACAACTTGTGTGAGTCAGTTCTTTCCCTATTCTATGGGTTGTGGGACTGAACTTGGCCTTGGTGGCAAGTGCCTTTTCCCCTTCTCAGTGACCCCACCTTGGTTTTTGAGACAGTCTCTCAAAGGGACCTGGGACTTGCCATGGAACCAAGGCCATGTCTGTGTCTGTCCAGCATGGGGGATCAGGAACATACGCCTTCCTGCCTGTCTTTCCTGCTGGGGCTGGGATTGAACCTGGGTCCTCATGCTCGCACAGCAAGCACTATACCCACTGAGCCATCCTCCCAGCACTTCAAAGTATGTTCTGAAATAGGTTAAGTTGTGGGGCCCAAGGAGGAAAGTGCTGGTGTCTTTTTTTTCCTGTCAGTGGCCCTGAAAGTAGATGTGGTGGAACTCAGTGCCAATTGCCCGCAGGCCTGGGCATGCCTGCTGGCCCAGCTCTCCTCTGATCTGGCACGTATAGCTTGGCTTGCCCTGCTGAGAGGTGAACCGGGCCCTTTCCACTGCTGCCATCATCCACCTCGGGCATATACACTTCTCCAGTCACAGGGCGGGGGCAATGACACCCGAGCAACTTTTAGAGGAATGTGATAGCCACAATATCTACTGGCCGGGAGCATGTTGTTCCCTCCAGCCTACAGATGTCATACAGCCCAGTGGCTGTTTTGAGAAGAGGTCATGGGTGACAAGGACCAATCCTATGCCTCTCTTCCCAGCAACTTGCTCAACTTCTCAGCAACAGTAGATTGGCATGGGCTGCAGGTGAGGGTACTCATGCCAATGGAATGAATTATTCCTCAGCCAGCCCTGCCCTTCCCCCATCCCCTCTTTCCCATCAGACGGCTGGCCGATCACTTCACTGCCGATGGCTTTCTCTAAGTCTCTGGTCTAAACACACAATTGTGTCGCCAGGGTTGGGAAATGAGCCCAGTAGAAGAGAGGCTCTTTGGTCCTTTCCAACTTCAACCCAAATATACACCATCTTGATCTGTTGCTGGGCTGTTGAGCAAGATGAGAAGAAAGGGCCCCAAAGCCAAGACAGAAATCCTTGATCTGCTAAAAACCCACACAGAACAAGATAACATGAATACACACAGCTAGAGCCTGGCGGTGCCTAACATCTTCAAGTCCAAGAGGAACACGCAGGGGCACAAATGTCCCCTAACACCACCGTACCAATAAACTCCACTCTCCACCACAACTAGGATCCACCCTACAGGGGGGCCACCAAACCACCAGTCCTTTACCATAACACTTTTCCATGTTCCTACACCGACACACACACACACACACACACACACACGTATCACAATGCACACGTATGGAAGAGAGACAGTACCTGGCTCACTCCTTCCACTGTGGTTCTGAGGACTGGACTCAGGTTTGCAAGCTTACCTGTAAATGCTAACCACTGTACCACCATCCCCTCTCATGTGTTCTAACTTGTTCCTTCCAAGGCCAGAGAGGCCTGGAAGTGACATTCTGCTGACCCGGCCTTCAGTAAAAATACATCAGGTATGACACGACATTCATGCCTTCCGGCCCCAAATGGAAAAGCAAGAGGTTACGCTCCCTTCCACTTCCTGCCACAGCCCCTCAAGCTCCCTCTCTTCCTGTGCCTGTCCAGGATAGAGACTAAGGGACCAAACTATTTGGATGTGAGGGACACAGCTACTAACCTGATCTAACATGCTCCTGGTGCACAAGGCTAAAGGGGTGGGTGGACCTCATACCCATTGGAGTATCGTTGGTCCTAGAGACAGACCCCTCAAGGTCAAAGACAACCAAAGCTGTACCTGATTCACATAACACAGCACCTTAACCCTACGGCCGGCACAGTCCAACTCCCTGAACGTGAGCTACTCACACCCGGGAAGCCAAGGGCAATGTCTGAACTCCAAAGCCCATAAAACTGTGAATTTAAACTGTGTGCCAGGTGCGTTCCTTTAATCCCAGCACTCAGGAGGCACAGGCAGAGAGAGCTCTGTGAGTTCAAGGCTAGCCTTACCTATATATATAGTGAAGTCTAAGCGCACCAAGGCTACACCATGAGACCATCTTTTGAAAGACAGAGAAAAAAAGAAAGGAAGGGAGAGAGAGAAAAGAGGAGAGGGAAGGGGAGGGGAGAAAAAGAACAGGAGACACTGAGCTGAAGATGTGGTCCAGCATTTGTTCTTCTAGACAACCAACCCAGGTTCTGTTCTCAGAACCTACATGGTAACTCACAGTCGTCTGTAACTCTAGCTCTAGAGAATCCAACACCCTATTCTGACCTTCGGACACATCCATATGCACTCATGTGTGTGCGCATACACACACACACACACACACACACACACACACACGCGTGCACTCACACACACACACACACACACACACACAAATAAATCATTTTTTAAAGCAAGCAAAGTCCACTAAGGAAGCTGGGCTCGGTGGCACGCGTTCGCTATCCCAGCGCTCAGGTGGTAAAGGCGAGTGGATTGAAAACTCAAGTTCAGACCAGCAACAGTTACACAAAGAGACAGAAAGGAGAGGCAGACACAGGAAGGAAACTTAGGGCTGGAGAGGTGCTCCTATCTGGAAGTTTCTAGATCCAGCTCCACCTAGATCAATCTCCCAGCATTTCCAGCACACAACAGAGAAGAAGCACGAATTGTCTCTTTTTTCAGCTGACATTCAAACTCATTTACACACACATCTCCCAGGAAACAGGGTCTAGCCCAGTCTAAAATGCAGCGAATCTGACAGGATATAAGCAAACCCTGCAGACACCACGTCAACCTCTGTGACACAGACAGAAGCCCCTCCTGTCTGTCCAAGCAGCCACCTCCTTGTTCCGGTCTAAGACATCAGGATCTATCCATACAGAAGGAGTGTGCACCTCTTCTGGTCGGCAGGGCCCAGGCCCACAAGAGGCCAAGGAGAGCTGCCTTGCTCTGAAAACCCACAGGGCAGTCTTGACTTGAATGGAAGAAAAGCTCAGACTGTCCCTTGTCCTGTAGGCTGCTCCATGTCCCTGGCTCCCTAGTCACACACGGCTACTGTAGTAGACAAGGCCAGAGTGAGGGCACGTCTGACCATGGCAGCGAGCTGTAACGGGCACGTGGGTCAGACAAGACCTGGTCCATCTCAGTTTGTCTCTTCCTACCTAGGCACTTACTTTCCTCTCCCAATCCCTCCAAAACCCACTAACACCCATTTGTGGGCATGTGTGGATGTGCCGGTTGTGTGGGTGTATGGATGTATAGACGTGTGTGGGTGTGTAGAGTGTGTGCGTGTATGGATGTGTGTGGATGTGTGGATTGTGTGGATGTTCGGGTTGTGTGAGTGTGTGGATGAGTAGACGTGTGTGGATGTGTAGACGTGTGTGGGTGTGGATGTGTGTAGACACATGGATGTGCGGGTTGTGTGGCTGTGTGGGTGTGTAGACATGTGTGGGTGTGTAGACAAGTATGGATGTGTGGGTATGTGGATGTGTGGACATGTGTGGGTGTGTGGATGTGTGAGTGTGTGGACATGTGTGGGTGTGTGGATGTGTGGGTGTGTGGATGTGTGAGTGTGTGGACATGTGTGGGTGTGTAGACAAGTATGGATGTGTGGGTGTGTGGATGTGTGGGTGTGTGGATGTGTGGGTGTGTGGGTGTGTGGGTGTGTGA